GGTCAAATGCAGTAAACTAAGTTATTTAATTTAAGAAGTTTTTGTGAGTCAAATAACCACTTATATTTTATAAAAGACAATATTATCTTAATAGAGGTGTGGGGTTGAAATTTTACTTTCGTATTTCAAAAAAATTATTTAATTTTAAATTTATCTAATACTTATCATGAGATCAAGTAAAAAGTTTAAATATTTATATTATTATAAAAATCATCCAACACATGAATTAATAACAAATTAGGTAGAGTGGTGAAAAAATAGAGTAGTTAGTATTTCTTTAAAAAAATACTATAAATATAAATATAAATCCGTCCGATTAATATTATACCGATCTGCATAGCATTCGCGAATCTTTCCTTGCATTTTATACGAAGCCACCACATATCTCTCCACACTATTCTCCTGTCTTCTTCGAAGGAACCTTTTTAGATAATGCATTTTGCGCACTCTCGTGCCTATAAAATGATATTTTCCATAATGACAAGGGCCGATTGAGATTATACGAGGGTCGTAGGCCTTTTTATTTGTCTGGTGCAGTAGATTTTTAAATATTAGATTCATGTATTATAATTTATTATGTAATAGACTGTAATATCAGTATCTTTAACAAAGGAAGGAGAAGACTTAATATTAATATCAAGGGATTTTTTTTCTTTTAATTGTTAAGTATTATAATTCATCACATGATTAATTGTAACATAATTTTTCGTTTAAATAAAATAGATACTAATATTTGATGACTAATAATTGATATTAATTATAATAAAAATATTTAATCTATTTAATTAAGAGCAATAACTAATAGCTATTCAATAAACTTGAAAAAGATTGGCAATTTGGCATCGACATGGTGCAATTTATTTATTTTTTTTTAAAGAAAAAAAGAAAAAAAAAAGAGAGTACGGACTAGAAAAAGGGGAATGAATCTGGGCCCTCTTAGCCTGAACAGATTAGGCCTAACATTAACCAGGGCCTAGAAAGATCGGCCCATCAGAAAATCGCAAACTCCCACTCCAATTCAAAACAAAAAATTCAGAAAAACGCCCAAACCGCATCAAATTAAACAAAGCCGAAAAGGAGAGGACAGAGGAGACAGAGTGTTATAAGTGTTAGGAGAATATGATGAGAGTTTTACATATTTTTGCAGAAGCAACTGCTTCTCCACAAAGTAAAACCCAGAAGATACATTTCTTCAAATAAGCAATAATAGAGAATGACAAGTTGCACATACAAGTAACTGAACAGTGAATAATGCTGCTTTTGTTGAAGTATTGAGAATTATGGATTCTAATCTTATCCAAAATGTATAGCTTTCTAAAGTTTTAAATTTTGTAGTGGTATTGGTGATATCCATGAGGCCTACTTTGTCTAAGATGATCTCTAATTTTAGTAGAACATGATAAAAGACACTGGTGTTTTGTATGACCTGGTTTTTTTTTTGAACAATTTGTAATTATTTACAGGATTAATTGGGGGAGAGGAGAAAAAGATTCTGTAGGACTCGAATGTGCAACCCACTAGAGGTGAACAATCCTAACCCAAAGTTCAATACTGTTGACTCAATGTACTCCAAGAGGGGGGGTGAATTGGAGTTCCAAAAATTCTCCCCTTTTTGCAACCACAAAACCAAAATTAAAGAGAGTAGAGAAGAAGAGCTTGCTCAATGATTTATAGAGGTTCGG